GAGTGCAATGCGACAGAGTAGAGCACTATGTTGAAGAGACGAGAAAACTGTGTTCGAATTTAGCTCGGCAGTTGTAATCGAGGTCGGGCGGCTCTCTCAAATTTGCCTCAGGATGTAAACATGTAGATGTTTACGTCTTTGAAATCAGGAAAATAAACATGTAACAGGGAAAAAAAGTCGTAATAAAATGTGTTTCTCTACAACTTGCACATTTTTATCTTATTTTGTTTAAATAAAATGAACTGTCTTTAGTTACATTTTACATTCAAATACACATTGGACACCTCGTGACTGCGAAACACTTTATGGTGAAAGGTGAAATGTTAGAACCAATTTTATCAGCAGTTTTCAGCCTAAAATTCATGCATCTGATAGATTAAGGTTTAAAGTAATTGTTTTACTTTTATTTTTTTTTTACCAAAATGTTTCCTGTGACTGGAAGTAGTGTTAACATTTTGGACAGAATCCCAACTTGAATCTGCTGTAGAATACGTAGAGGCTTTTTAAAGATTAGGGTGATGGCAATGAGGGCTTACTACCTTTAAGACTTGAAACTCATCACCAAAGATTAAAATGATAATGGTTTGATTGCTAAAATTTTTTTTCCCCTGATTTATTTAGAAGGGAATACATTTAGACATTATTTCCTAATGAAATGTTTAAATATATATATATATATATGGAATATTAGTATAGAGTTTTTTTTCCTCTTTTCTCATCCCTCTACAGTGGTGTAGCCAGTGAATGTTTCTGTAAAAGTAAAAAGAGGGAATTTCCCACTAAAACGACTTAAACTAAAGAAAAAAATCCCACTGATCTACTCGACTCCATCCTTAAAAGCTTAAGTTTAACTTCGAAATTTGTTTCCCACCAGCTTAGAAAAGTCTGACTCTCTCTGTAGTCAGCACCACAAGGGCACGATGAAGAGACGGCTCGAAATAACCCTTTAGCTTGAACAGGCGAGTGCTGCAGAAGTTAACATCAATTAAATCTTCATTATTAGTCGCAAAAGGTCAAAGCACTTTTGCCTGCAATTTTTTTTTTCTTTTTTGCATTTTGGTTTTTAATTGGAATAATTGTGAGTAATTTTAATGATGCCACTAAAGACACGTCAGTTTCAACTACCGTTAATTAAAAGCTGAAGAGCTTTGAGAAATTAGTGAATATTCTACCTTTTTCTCTACTGTACTAAAAATCAAATGCACTCACTGCACCAAGTTGTATCCATAAAACATACATTTAGTAAATAGATAATATTGATTGATAAAGTCAAGCTGTGTGTGAAATAATCTCAGTATAAGTCCAGCTGGTTTTGTTAAGAACATTAATTGAGAAACAGAGTAATGAAGCGCTCAGCTGGTTAGTGAATCAGCTTTTAATGTGATAACCTAACTAACTTAGACGTGACAATCTATCCAACATGACAGGGGAGCTTTAATGAGAGAAGCAGCAATCTGGCCTGTGACACAGCGGACACTGGAGGGGCTGCAGAGATTCAGAGTCGGCTGATGGCGCAACTATTAATCGAAAACTCTACAAAACTGCCGCCTGTGAGAGAGAGGGAACAAGACAGTCCCTACTGAAAGAAAGTCAGGAGAAATCCTGCCATAAACCATGGAGGCAAAGCAACAAACACTTGGAAAAAGATGCTCTGGTTAATTGAAATCTTTTTAGCACACCGAAAATATCTTTTAGAATATGTTTACATTTTGCATTTTATTTGAAATGCAAAATGTAGACATTTTGTTTAGCTTTAGCTTAATTGCTGCCTTGACTGTTGTTTCCTGCACCAAATAGCTTATTTTTGTAAGCACTTCACTTAGCGATTCATCGATTACTAAATTAGTTGATGATTATTTCAATAATCGATTAAACATGATTAATCATTGCACCCCTAATATGTTTTTTCACCTCTAGCAGATAAATAAATGAAAATGTTGAAAACCATGCATCATTTTCTTTCGTTATGTCTCTCTTAAGTAAAATCCCAGTAGAATAAAATTAAGGTTTTAAATGTGTGCAGGTCCACAGTTTATCTGCCTCAGGTGTCAGAAGAGCCACCAAATGAGCAAGACTCTTTCAGGTTTCCCAGCATGCCACAGGTCCAACACGCATTTCTGTTCACTGAAAGGTTCTCGGCGTACTCTCTTGATGGTGCCAACAAAGCTAGCATCACAACGTGTTGCAATATTATACAAAACAACCATGGCGGTTTTCTCACTGGACTGCTTCATGGTTCATTTAATGGTAGTAACACAAACAACAGGTTGTTTATTTGTGAAGAAGAATAGTAGCGTGTGAAAAAGAGCCTTGATTTAGTGTTTACCGAGAGGATTACCACTTTAAAGCTCCGAACCAACTCAGATATATTCAAACAGAAAGTCTGAATCCTTCCCATACGCTTCAACACAATGACAACATAGTAAGGATGAACCACACTCTTGCTGCTCTTCACACGGACACACACACACACACACACACACACACACACACACGCAGCACGGCTGTATAATAAATGAGCCTCTTCCGTCCTGTTGCACTTAACTGTCGCTGCAGTCAGCGACATCATAAGCACAACAAACACAGAAACATCTCGCTGTCGGTGTTCAGTCGGTGTAAAAATCGCTGCTTCAGAGACTGACAGGATTCATATTCACAAGCCACAAAAACACACACACACACACACACACACATACTGCTGCAATTACAGAGAGCCCAGCGCCACGGCTCAAAGGATGCTTTTAAATTGTGCTGTTTGCACTTCAAATGAGTTTGATCCATCCACACAGGTTGGGCGTTTGCTGGGGGAGGGGAGTGCTTCTGGGTGTGCCCCCCTCCCTCCTCCCTCCTTCCTTTTCGTTATTGTTGCTCCTACAGAGCAATAATGTGGATCCTGAAAACTGTGTGGGAGGAGGGTTGATGTGATCATTTGTATCTGAGCATCACCTGGCATCGGGACATTAGAGAAGCATGGCCTGGGGGGGCTTTTCTCCCCCCGCCTCTATCTCTGAGGACTCCTAATGCCATGCAATGTAGCACTGACAGCTCCCTTCAAAAACAAAAACAAAAAAAACCTCAGCACCAAACCTTTCCAATGCTCACAGCTGTCTTCTTCCTTACTCTCACACAAATAAAACCCTACTTTGACAGACAAAGATCCAGTGATATCACAAATATGCGTATATTCGCTCTACATTTCGATATGGAGAATAAGACTCGTCCTCCTGCCTCCACCCAGTCACACAGAGACACAGCCTCCCCCCCCCCCCTCTGGCAGCAGGCAGGCAGGCGGCGGAGAGGACAGCCATGGATATGTTCTGCCTGCTATCTAATGAGCGTCAGAATGTCACTGTGGGGGCCCTCTCGGCCGGTCCCGGCCAGCCAAGCGGGTCCATACGCGAGGTATCAACACAGTCTATCAAACAGCTGGCAGACAGCCTACCCTGCGTTTTCCCTCTCATCATCCCCGACTCTGCATCTCTGCCGAATGAGGCTCTCGCTGTCTGCTTCTGATAACAAACAAGCAGAGGCCCAGGTCTGCTCTGCCTCGCATCCCTCCCCAACTCCTCTACTCCTCCTCTTCTTCCTCACCCAGCAGCATCAGCACCACCGACTTTACACAGACATCCCGAATGAAGGATGGAGGCGAGCTCTGCCCTAAGTAACACACACACACACAAACACAAACACACACACCATCCGCTCTACCTGACTGCGTGTGCTCTGTGGAGGTAAAAAGAGACGGAAAGGTGCCAGACGAAGTACAGTTTTTGTTTTTTTTTTTTTTTTTTTGTTTTTGTATTATCTTAAAAAAAAAAAAAAAAGCAGTGGGAGATTCTTTCAATAAGCGTCTATGTTTAACTCCCTTTCTTTCTTAGCCCTCTCCGACTCTCTGCCTGGTGTAGAGCGCACCTTTTGAGTGTCATCTACCCAGAAGACATCAAATAACACGCCTTCGCAAGGATGCTGGAGCCACCGCCGCAGCAGCACGGCAATGCAACGCCGCCTCAACGGGCGTGCTGGGAGATGAGAAGATATCAGCGAAGAGACGTGCTTGGCAGCTGATCGGCGCTGCTTCCCTGGCTCCAGGACAACAACAATCCCTTTAAAACGTCAGGAGATGTTCAGTTTTGCCTCTGCTTCCAAGTTATCTCTGTCCTTGTGATTAGGTTGTCGGCAGCAGTCACATTGGATCGCAGTGGGTTGTGAAGACGTGACATGGGCATGGATGGAATTAAAAACTCAATGGCTACGCAAATGTGGCTCTGGCAACTCCAGTTTTGCCCAACTGACGAAGGCATTCCCGACTGGAAACGTAGGACGGACGACTTACTTCCGGAAAGCCTTCCAGAGAATCGCCAGTGAATTCAAGACATATCTTTTCAGATCTACAAATTGTATCTTTACCTTCACATAACATGATCAAGATCAACATATTCTTTGCACAATCCCCCTCCCCCCCCTTTTTCTTGCTTGCCCTGGACACCCCACTGTTTCATGACCTAGTACTGCCTATTGTTCTGGCAGGTGGGAACCCCTCCTGAGCTCATTCCTGTTACAGAAAAAAAATCTATCAACTCTGGTGTATGTTTACTCTGTATGTGATGCTATAGAGATATCGGCATATGATGATATTTGAGGCATCACTGGCAGACCTGTAAGGAAAGATCTACATGGGTCAAATTTCAGGATTTTAGGGCTGCATTATGTTTGTCTTGAAAGTCCCGCAAAGAGGGAGATGGGACTGTCTCACAAGATCATTCCTGCTGCGGACAAAGCAAATAATCCAGCACAATGCAGCTACATATCGAAGTATAATATACCCAGATTATCTGACAGAAAAATCCAATTTATGTATCTCAGGGCTGTACTATGCCCAGTCCTAAAAAGCACAGGACCTTTGTTTCACAGAAGGGCCCCAGGCATGTGTTTTTATTTATTTATTTATTTATTTTCTATAACCAGATAGAAACATGCAGCAGGAAGTGTGTTTCGAGTACCTTGAAAATGGAACGCTCTAGACTCGCTGTGGAAGCCCTGGACTTGAGTAACTCCATCAAAGCCTCCGTCTCCAAGTGTTAGTTCATCAAAGACGCTGATGCGCAGGGCAGGGTCAACCCCAAAACCTACAACTTATTTCCAAACAAAGAAGATTGTTACTGAGGTTGTTAGCTGGATGGTGAAAATCCTTCATAGTGGCACCTTTTTTTTTTTTTTTTTTTTGCACAATAATATCCAATAAATTGAATTTTTGACAAACTTCTGCAAGGTTTTCTGGATGCAGATTACGCAGGATACACTTCTACTACTGCATATATCCTGAAAAGCTACATGTTGCAAGAGGTTGCAGAGGCGTCCTACCTGAGGAGGTGCAAAATAAGCAAAGAACCAGAAATAGCTGTATCAATCCCATATTGACTGTGTTGAAGCGAAGGTTTAGTCCATGTTTTTATCGGCGTCCAAAGGACCGTGTCGTTAAATCACAGGCTGACAGGATATCACCCTTGCACATGAGGCTGTTACAAATCCCAAACGCCGAGCGGAGGCATCATCACAACTTTAGATGCCTCTATCATACGCCGGAGGAGGAAAGACAAAAGGTTAAAAAAAAAAAGAAATGATAATAATACAAATCCTCAGGAGAGACAAGAAGTAAGCGATGTCGAAACTACGCCATGTAACGCCAGGTCCGCTCCGGCTGCAGCATCCGCGGCACAGGTGGATGAGCTGCCCTGCCTCACCAGCTCAACAGACGCTCCTTCAGCGGGCTGGGAGCTCACACCGCTGAACGGGGGAGAGAGAGAAAGGAGGAGAGAAAGAGGGCGGGAGAGGGAAGAGAAACAGGGACCATGACGCCCTCTGCTGGACAGATTTCAATATTAATCGGATCAAAATAAAATCATCACGCCCTCTGCTGGACAGATTTCAATATTAATCGGATCAAAATAAAATCATCATAACCGGTCCGACTCTATTCGATACTTGGAATTTTTATTTATTTTTTTTTTTTACAAATTCTGTTTGACAGCAAATGAGAACTCCAAATTTAGCTTCTAAATAATATAAAAATACTGACAGAATTTTTTATTTATTTATTTAGTTTTTTTTAAGGGTTTTGTTGGTTCTAGTGGTCTTTATTTGAAAGTAGTTTGACAGGAAACAGGGTAATGAGAGAGAGGGAAGACATGCGGCAAATGTCGCCAGGCCGGAATCGAACCTGTGAAACCGTCATGAGGACTAAGGCCTCAACACGTGGGTCGTGCTTTGCATCGTGATTTGAGAGCAAATCAAAGCAAAGATATTTTTACAACAGAGTTAGAAATTACAACACAAAAACAAAATAATTTTTCAAGAAGGAACCTGAAACTAAAGCATCGATCCCAGTGTCTATCCAATACTGATAGTGACTTGATATTGATAATATTGATATTTTGGATTGTCCCACTCTCCTTTGCTTGATCATGGGCCAACAGAAAGCTAGTGACATCCTATTCAAGGTTGGTAAGCTACAAAATGTCACAGCTATAGAAGCTGGCTGTTAACAGAGTGCTTTATCTACATGTGTTCATAGAAAGTAGAGTGAAAGGAAAAAGTTTGGAAGAAAAGCAACAGGAAAAACTCCAACCCAACCAAGTACTGAGTCTATATTGGTCAGTACACTGACATATTTTTCAGCAGGTTCACATTGACATTATAGATTTATAGATTTTCTTCCCTTTTTTGGTCTTATGTATTTCACGTGTTGAGAAGCCATATTTGAGGTTTTTAACATAAAAGAAAACAATGCAGTAATGTCTTCAGTCAGGGGCTTCTTCAGATTCTCTGCAAGACTGACTGCTTTCATGCCTTCCTGGTGGCGGTGCCATCAACATCCACAATCACTCTTTGAAAATACTTGGGTGAAATGAGTTTCATTTCGCTCTGCGATAAATAAAGTATTTTTGAACTGGCTGAAATACAACTGCTGAAACAACAGAATCTGCAGATGCTTGAAAGCGACTATCTACCTCTGCTTAGACTGAGAATCTGCTTCCTTGGGGCTTCATGTGTTCTGCTGATCGATGTCGGAAAATCGTGAAATTGATGGTTTCATGTTAATGTTACATTTCGCCTGAACCGCTGTGACTGAACAACATTAGCGGCAATGAAAAAAATTGATGGATGCGTAGTACCTGAGAAGTTGACAGTGTTAGAAGTCTGATAAATGGCTGGGCAAACGGCGGTGAAACGGCCTGATGTGATTCGTGCAGCTCCCCCACCTTTATTTGTCTAAATGTTTTTCTTTTCAGTTTGACTTTGAAGCGGAGTTTAACAGCTCCTCTAAACCTTTCTACCCTCCTGAGGTTGCTCTTTGAGCAGAGTTGTGTGGCCTCCTGCAGACGCACAGCTTTATTCCTTCAAAATGCTCGAGTCATCTTTCAAAGTTGAAGTTTAGCTGTTCAGCAGGTGGCATGACATAAAACGTTCTTGGCTGCCTAGCTCACTCTGCTCTCTCTTATGCTTTATATCGCTTTTGCTTGCTTTTTGGTTACTATATGGTGAATTTATTCCATTTGGTTGCATAACACACACAAAATTCAACATACTTTATCAGGAGTTTAGGTGACAGTAAAACATGCATATGAAACTTGTAACAAAAGTCACCTAGGTAAGTAAATGAAGCCCTCCTGTGTGTAGCTTTATATCAGTACCAACAAAGCAGCTCTGTCAATGCCACACACGGTTTTCGGTTTTCTTTTTAGGAAACGTTAGTTAATAAAAAGATTGACGATCAAGGATCACAGCAGACATCTCAGGGATGAGGTTGTGGGAAAAACATAATCAAAATTGTAAAAGGTAGTTTTGGGAGTGTCATGCTGTGGGGATCATTTCCTAAATACAGTTAGAGACCGCAAAGTACTTGAGAAAGGGATGTTCGTGTGTTGGGATGGCACAGTCAAAGTATAGACCTAAAAATAATTGAGATTCTGTGGAAAAGCTTGAAAACTGATGTTCTCCTGATAAGGGTCTTGAACATGAGCTATTTGCAAAGAGGAATGGGTAAAAAAAAAAAAAAAATTCTGTCTGTCGCTAGACGACCAACGATAGTGACGTAATTACCCCCAAAAGACGGAAGTGTTGACTCAAGGCAAAGACGCGCTGTTTGCGTCCAACTCTTCAAGGTCCGATCCAGTTTTTACCTCACATATAAGCTCCACCGCAAGTGTCCCTCTACTGACAACTGGACTTGCAAAATCAAGTATTCATGCAAGAGTACCAGAAATCCCACCAGCATAAACACAAGGCAGTCTGGCTTTAAACTCAGAGCTGCTCAAGCCACTTTAAAAAAAAATTCTGTACTTCTTACACTAGTTTTTTATGCGAGTAATGTGTTTTACTTTGCCACCGTGTCTCACTTGGTGTCTCACTCATTCAAATTTTCCATTAAATTCCAACCGCAGTAGACTCCAGGTCTATCGCGGTCGGATAGTCGGAGATGAAGTTGCGGGGAATCGCTAGCAGTAGGCGAGAGAAGCCTTTAACTCTATCGTCTTTAAATGTTCGGATACCAAATCAGACCTGATACGTCTTAGCACTTCAAAGTGGCTGAATATAAATGTGCATCGCGCTTTTTTTTTTATTTTTTTTTTTAGATGTTTTTGGGAAACATTTTCAAACACAGGTTTTATACAATTTCCCCAATTACTTCTCTTGTCCACCATTTTGTGTTGGTTTGTCACGCGCAATTTCCAAAAATGACTTTGAAATTAGTGATTGAAACGTGTCAAAACGTGAAAAGTGGTCTTGGTATTTCTGCAGAATAGTGAGATTCTGAACAACAGTGCAATCCCCACTAGACTACATCTTCATTTCCAGGCCATGTGTAGCATTCTTCCACCAAACTGTCTTTCCTTTAAAGCATAATTGTCCACAGCGAATTAATGTGTTTTATTAGGATTTATGCAAAACAGATGTACTTTGGCAAATAAGTTATCTTTTAATATAGCTCTTGTGGCGCTTGCAGTATGCACACACAGCGAGGGGCTAATGGATAGCTATTGTCAGTGAAACAAAGGCGAGCAGGGGCTCTTCATGCGGTGTCACATCTGCTGAGAGAAAGGGCCGCCAACCCCTCTATTCATAATTAATAAAAGTAGATTTCTTCTGGGTGCAGACACAGGGAATGTAATTACTTTCTATTGCCCACAAGTTGTCATTTCCTAAAGTGCCATCAGGAAAACAAGACTCATTAAAATGTGCACTCAGGAAAAAAAAAAAAAAAATAAAGGTGCAAGACACACACACGCACACACACACACACACTGCAAATCTCTTAGGGCAAGGACAGAGCAACAGTGGAGGTCCTTTACTTCATCTTTACATGATTCAAATAGATGATGCATTACAAAGCTCTGAGGGGCTTATTCACTGTGGCTATAAGTCAGCTATGAAGACATGTTAATGGGACTGATGAAATGAAACAACTTCCTGGATATCTAAGAGGTTTCACATATGAACCAAAAAAAACCAACAAAAAAAAAACAACAACCCTGATCTCGTCTGAGATCCTTTTACTGCAGAATTCTGTGACATTGACCTTGTCTTTTCTGGACCACAAATCATATGAAAATTGTTACAACTCATTGTATTAGTCTGCTCTCTGATGTGTTTCACTGCCTGCTTCGTTCTGTTGGAAATGAATTCACATCAAGAGGAAAGATTTGACTGAAGTGAAGCTGACAAGGCAGGACTTAGTAATATAAATACAGATGGATTCATTAGTCGGTCTAATGTATGCGCTCATTACTAAGTCCGTGTTTTGCTCTAAACTTAGTAACAACTGGGCTTCTTATCCCGTCAGCGCCATCTGGTGGAAAAGGCGACAACTTGCAGTACCCAGGTCAAACAGACAGTGTCACCCTCAGGCCACGTTGAGGCTGAACATGATCTGATGGGAATCTTGAACACGAGTCAAAGCGAGCTCCTTCAGAATAAGAAACTACTACTGCACTACTGCAGGCTCTTTAAAAGCAATGAGCGAAAAAAAAAAAGTTTGTTTCTGGAGAAGAACAGACAGAGATGAACTGAGCCTGCAGAGAGATCTAACAAATTCAGGGTTAGTAAGTTACAGATATTTCTAGTTTTGATTTGGCACTAAAAACCTTCTCACATTATAGTTATTCGCTTTTCTATTCATTTGAAAGTACACTCCTTCGATTTTAATTAATGAATCAATCTAAAAGCATAAATATATTCGAAAAAGGTACACAAATATTTCTAAGTAGCTATACAGAAGCCATCGTAAACTAATATGGGATATTCCTAGATGATCCAGATAAAAATAGTATTAATATTGGTGTTATATAACAATATTGATATATCATAAAATAATGGTAGAATAGTATGAAAGGATGGGAGTTTTAAAAAGTGCAAACTTTTTTTCACTCCTTTTCAAACAAGTATGGAAGCTAAAATGACTCATTCTTATGTTTCAAAAACCTTTTTAATGTATTTATATGCATTTGTGTTTGTTTTGTTTTGTTTTGTTTTATTTTGATTTATTTGTCCGAACATGGGAAGAAAATCTGAGTAATCTTTGACAAATATAAATTCTGACAATCACACAGAAACAACAGTTGTAAATAATCAAACGCCTCATTGTTTAATAATAAGAAATTTCCTCAAAAGCCGCTATTGACTCAAATCCAGCTAAACACGGTAAAACTAAGCAGACATTTTGCAGACCTTTTGTAGTCTCCAACGGGAATGTTGGAAACTACAAAAGGAGAAATA